CCCCGCCCCAGGGGGTCATTGATTTTCCCTCTATGCATATAGTAAAAACTTAAAAAATCATCTTTTAAAGAACTCAAAGAGCTAGAGCTAAGATATTTAGCATGAAACATGTTCTAATGGGTGTCTACCAAGTTTGTTCAAATAAAAGCCCTGGGGTCAAACTGGCCCCGCCCAAGGGGGTCATTGATTTTTCTTATATGTGTATAGCAAAAACTTAAAAAATCTTCTTTGAAAAAACCCAAATAGCTAGAGTTAAGATATTAAGCATAAAACATCTTTTAGTGAGTGTCTACAAAGTTTGTTCAAATAAAAGACCTGGGGTCAAAATTGGCCCCGCCCCGGGGGTCATTGATTTTCTTTATATGTGTATAGCAAAAACTTAAAATCTTCTTTGAAAAAACCCAAATAGCTAGAGTTTAGATATTAAGCATGAAACATCTTCTAGTAAGTGTCTACAAAGTTTGTTCAAATAAAAGCCCTGGGGTCAAAACTGTCCCGGCCCCAGGGGTGTCATTGTTTTTAACTATATGTGTATAGTAAAAACTTTAAAAAAATCTTCTTTTAAAAAGCCCAATGAGCTAGAGCTAAGATATTTAGAATGAAACATGTTCTAATGGGTGTCTACCAAGTTTGTTCAAATAAAAGCCCTGGGGTCAAAATTGGCCCCGCCCCTGGGGGTCATTGATTTTCCCTATATGCATATAGTAAAAACTTAAAAAATTATCTTTTAAAGAACTCAAAGAGCTATGGCTAAGATATTTAGCATCAAACATGTTCTAATAGGTGTCTACCAAGTTTGTTCAAATAAAAGCCCTGGGGTCAAAATTGGCCCCGCCCCAGGGGGTCATTGATTTTCCCTATATGCATATAGTAAAAACTTAAAAAATCTTCTTTTAAAGAACCAAAAGAGTTAGAGCTAAGATATTTAGCATGAAACATGTTCTAATAAGTGTCTACCAAGTTTGTTCAAATAAAAGCCATGGGGTCAAAATTGGCCCCGCCCCGGGGGGGTCATTGATTTACCCTATATGCATATAGTAAAAAACTTAAAAATCTTCTTTTAAAGAACTCAAAGAGCTATGGCTAAGATATTTAGCATCAAACATGTTCTTATAGGTGTCTACCAAGTTTGTTCAAAAAAAAGCCATGGGGTCAAAAATTTGCACCACCACGGGTTCATTGATTTTCCTTATATGTGTATAGCAAAAACTTAAAAAATCTTCTTTGAAAAAACCCAAATAGCTAAAGTTAAGATATTAAGCATGAAACATCTTTTAGTGAGTGTCTACAAAGTTTGTTCAAATAAAAGACCTGGGGTCAAAATTGGCCCCGCCCCGGGGGTCATTGATTTTCTTTATATGTGTATAGCAAAAACTTAAAATCTTCTTTGAAAAAACCCAAATAGCTAGAGTTTAGATATTAAGCATGAAACATCTTCTAGTAAGTGTCTACAAAGTTTGTTCAAATAAAAGCCCTGGGGTCAAAACTGGCCCGCCCCAGGGGTGTCATTGTTTTTAACTATATGTGTATAGTAAAAACTTTAAAAAAATCTTCTTTTAAAAAGCCCAATGAGCTAGAGCTTAGATGTTTAGCATGAAACATGTTCTTATGGGTGTCTACCAAGTTTGTGCAAATAAAAGCCCTTGGTTTAAATTGGCCCTGCAACGTTGGGGGGGGGGGGGCCTATATACAGGTGAGCGACCTCAGGGCCATCATGGCCCTCTTGTATGTGTATAGCAAAAACTTAAAAATCTTCTTTGAAAAAAAACCCAAATAGCTAGAGTTTAGATATTAAGCATGAAACATCTTCTAGTAAGTGTCTACAAAGTTTGTTCAAATAAAAGCCCTGGGGTCAAAACTGGCCCCGCCCCAGGGGTGTCATTGTTTTTAACTATATGTGTATAGTAAAAACTTAAAAAAAATCTTCTTTTAAAAAGCCCAATGAGCTAGAGCTTAGATGTTTAGCATGAAATATCTTCTTATGGGTGTCTACCAAGATTGTGCAAATAAAAGCCCTTTGGTTAAATTGGCCCTGCAACGTTGGGGGGGGGGGGTTGGGGGGGGGGCCTATATACAGGTGAGCGACCTCTGGGCCATCATGGCCCTCTTGTTTTTTATTTTGGTTATGTGATAAATAGAATGATAAATTTTTTCAGCTTCATTTCGGAATTTATTGAGCTTGTATAAAATGATAATAAACTCACCAAAGGCTTTCATAATATGAGCTGCGTCACGACAAAACCAACATAATGGGTTTGCGACCAGCATGGATCCAGACCAGCCTGCGCATCTGCGCAGTCTGATCAGGATCCATGCTGTTCCCTTACCAACCCTATAACAAGTAAAAAAACTGATAGCGAACAGCATGGATCCTGATCAGACTGCGCGAATGCCCAGGCTGGTCTGGATCCATGCTAATCGCAAACCTGTTATGTTGGTTTTGTTGTGACGCGGCTCATATGATTTTATTCAACTCATTCAATAAATTCAATACTGAAACTACATTCATTAAATATCCTTTATATTAGGGATGGCAACGAGTAACCGGTTAACCGAGTACTCGATCAAACGTCCGAATATCGGTTAACAAAATTGATATTCGATTACTCGGAAAAATATGTATTTTCTATTTTTTTTGCAATTTAGAAAGATTGGTATATCCAATTAGTTCAGAAATTCGGAAATGTGCATGTATCTTCATAAATACCCGTTAAATGCAATCAAAACATCCTTGCAGCGGTGCGAAAATGATACCATGAATTTAACGAGGCAATCGACAGTTTGACATGCGCACCTGTGTCGCTTATGTCATCCAGCCTCTTATGATATTTAATTACCTTTAATTGTGTAGCTGAAGTAACTGTTTTGAAAACAACAAAGGGCCGATTGTTATCATTAATGTAAGGATAAAGGTAACTAGTATTTAGACCAGGTTAAACTTTTGTTCCCGCCGATCAGTCTATATTATTTCAAGAAGAAAAATATATATGAACTGTTATACATGTTTAAAACTTGATATTGCATTAATTAAAATGTTGTAAAATGTTATGTTGTTGATTTAATTATAATTAATTGTCTCCCGTGCAGTCCTATTTACTATCTACAGAATTCTATGAATTTAAATAGAAAACGAAAGTAGCATGCGGACGGTGTTGATATTGTGTGATAAAATTTGAAGATCACTGGCAATCATCCGAGTAACCAAGTACTCGATCGGAAAAATGACTGAGTACTCGAGTATTGATTTTGATATTCGTTGCCATCCCTACTTTATATATTACATGATAAAAATGATACAAGATAAGAATCAGTGATTTATCAGCTTGGGACCTAAGGCTATGCAGAAAAAAACAAACAACTGACCTTGAACCACTTTTAATGCCCATTAGTAAGGGACCAAAATTATCTATCAAATACAAATACAGTTGACTCTCGGTAACTCGAAATCCAAGGGACTAGGTATTTTACTTCGAGAGAAACGGAATTCGAGTAACGTGGAACTACCGCCATTACGTTGACTTCGTACATGTATATACATGTACCTGATTGAATGTGCAAAGAAGTAGGTTTCTTATTGTTGTTAGCGGCAATGCTGCAATATTTAACCATTGAAATGACGGTAAATCACTTTCAACTACAAATTATAAATGAACAAAAATATATCATTCAAAATTTAACAGAAGTACAAATTAATGTATGCAATATGACGGAACATTAATTATACAAATATCATTTACGTTGATAATACACATCAATACCTAGGCTGTTATTTGACTAGGCTGTTATTTGACTAACACCCGTCAGACTGGCACGAGTAAACTTTTTTAAAGAAATGTAATTAAATTTTAATTTAGTTATCTAACTGTTAAAACCAATTAAGTCGTGAAACGGATTAAAGACACTTTTACGACGTGTTAATAATACATGATGACCGGCAATTAAAAATTACTGTGAAATGTGTAAATCACGAGTGACAACATCTCACCTTGATGTCGCCGACCTTTGATCAGTCGGCTGTTTTCACACTTCGACTAATTGAGATGAAAATATGTGGACTTTAATTGACGGGACCAAATTTTCTTTTCGACTAAACAGGAGTCTCGGTAAGTCAAAATTTGTCCTAAGCGGAGTTAAAATACAAAGATAAAGAAGGAAATTTGACAGGACTTTAGAAATTATTCGACTAAGACGGAATTTTGAGTAAAGCGATTTTGACTTATTGAGAGTCAACTGTATATGTGACTTCCTTACATAAATTGTATTTTTGTATCCACATTTTATATTAAAAAAAAAAACCAATGCATCATTTCAGCCAAGAGACCAGTATCTGGCAAAGTTGATGTCTAAGATTCAGATATCTGGATCTAAAGGTCAAAGTTCAGATACAACTAGAGTGAGCGATGAAGGTGTCTTAGACTCCTGGGAGGATATTGAAGAGCACGAGGGTCTGGTATGTTCTTGTAATGAAGTTTTTGTGGACAAATAAAACCTAGTTTGTATGTACTTGTGAACTATGACTTGTATACCATCATCTTTTAGGAGGAAAAAATGTGGAATCTTCTGTTAAAAAATTCAAAAATCTAGAGTTTAGATATTAAGCATGAATTATCTTCTAGTGAGTGTCTACCAAGTTTGTTATCCCCCGCCGATGGCATCGTGAGGGGGATATAGTTTTGGCGTTGTCCGTCCTTCCATCCGTCCGTCCGAATTTCGTTTCCGGAGTAGTTCTCTGCAACTACTGGCTGGAATTCAACGAAACTTTATGGGAATCATCAATATCAAGAGGAGATGCGCATATCGTCAGCTTGTTCCGGTCAGACCCTTTAACTCAGAGTTATGGCCCTTGATAAGTTATGTAGAATGCATATAGAGTAAAATTTTGTTTCCGGAGTAGTTCTCTGCAACTACTGGCTGGAATTCAATGAAACTTTATGGGAATAATCAATACCAAGAGGAGATGCGCATATCGTCGGCTTGTTCCAGTCAGACCCTTTAACTCAGAGTTATGGCCCTTGATAAGTTATGTAGAATGCATATAGAGTAAAATTTTGTTTCCGGAGTAGTTCTCTGCAACTACTGGCTGGAATTCAACGAAACTTTAGGGGAATCATCAATATCAAGAGGAGATGAGCATATCGTAGGCTTGTTCCAGTCAGACACTTTAATACCACTTTAACTCAGAGTTATGGCCCTTGCTTAGTTATGTAGTATGCATATAGAGTAAAAATCGTTTCCGCGCTACTTCTCTGCAACTACTGGCTGGAATTCAACAAAACTTTATGGGAACCTTCAATACCAAGAGGAGATGCGCATATCATCGGCTTGTTCGGGTCAGACACTTTAACTCAGAGTTATGGCCCTTGATTAGTTATGCAAAATGCATATGGAGTAAAAATCGTTTCCGGTGTAGTTCTCTGCAACTACTGGCTGGAATTCAACGAAACTTTATGAGACTCATCAATATCAAGAGGAGATGCGCATATCGTGGGCTTGTTCCGGTCAGACCCTTAAACTCAGAGTTATGGCCCTTGATAAGTTATGTAGAATGCATATAGAGTAAATCATTTCCGCACTACTTCTCTGCAACTACTGGCTGGAATTCAACGAAAATTTAGGGGAATCATCAATATCAAGAGGAGATGCGCATATCGTCGGCTTGTTCCGGTCAGACACTTTATCTCAGAGTTATGGCCCTTGCTTAGTTATGTAGTATGCATATAGAGTAAAAATCGTTTCCGCGCTACTTCTCAGCAACTACTGGCTGGAGTTCAACAACACTTTATGGGAACCTTCAATACCAAGAGGAGATGTGCATGTCGTCGGCTTGTTCGGGTCAGACACTTTAACTCAGAGTTATGGCCCTTGATTAGTTATGCAATATGCATATGGAGTAAAAATCGTTTCCGGTGTAGTTCTCTGCAACTACTGACTGGAATTCAAAGAAACTTTATGGAATCATCAATATCAAGAGGAGATGCGCATATCGTCGGCTTGTTCCGGTCAGACACTTTAACTTGCATATAGAGTAAAAATCGTTTCCGCACTACTTCTCTGCAACTACTGGCTGGAATTCAACGAAACTTTATGGGAATCATCAATACCGAGAGAAGATGCGCATATCGTCGGCTTGTTCCGGTCAGACACTTTAACTCAGAGTTATGGCCCTTGATTAGTTATGCAGTATCCATATAGAAAAATATTTGTTTCCTCGCTACTTCTCTGCTACTACTGGCTGGAATTCAATGGAACTTTATGGGATACTAAGAGGAGATATGCATATAGTCGCCTTGTTCCAGTCAGATACTTATAACTCAGATTTATGGCCCTTGATTAGTTATGTAGTATGCATACATCTCATTGGCATTTCCAGATTTTACTATTTAACACAAAGTTATGGCCCTGTTATTCGTTGCCCTGAATATTATCAAGTTCAAAGAATATTACTGTTTATGCCATGATTAATATATAAATAAAAGCCTTATGTCTTCAGTTGTTGTGTTAATAATAACCAGTACTCGGCGGGGGATATAAATTCAACGAATTTGCTTGTTAAAATAAAAGCCCTGGGGACAAAATTGGCCCGCCCAGAGTGGGGTCATTGTTTTTCCCTATATGTGTATAGTAAAAACTTAAAAAATCTTCTTAGAGCTAGAGCTTAGATATTTATCATGAAACATCTTTAAATGGGTGTCTACCAAGTTTGTTCAAATAAAAGCCTTTGGGTCAAAATTGGCCAAACCCAGGGGCCTATATACAGGTGAGCGATTTCAGGGCCATCATGACCCTCTTGTTTCTCAGTAATTTTGCTATAAAATTTGATTGTATTCTCATAAAGTTGTATAGCACTTCACATTCAGCTTGTGTAAAACATGTTTATGATTGGGGTTTCCACATAACTAGTGCTATATTGTCATTAAATACCAAATAGATCTACAGTAAAGGCAGGGAAAAGGCAGCAGCAACACAGTTTCAAATTTAACCTGATTGAATAACAATTGAACAATTGTAAAATCAGGGTCAGTCTCAGAGAGAAGCTCTGGTAACCAATTTCGATTTTTTTTTCCAGTTGATATGTAACATGATTACAAAATAAATAGAGACAAATTAAAAGAGATATAGAGAATATTTAGTTAATGTCCGGATGGAGAAGGTTTATCTGGAGAGCTTTAGCAAGGCAAAATTCACTTTCGCAGTGAACCTGCAAGAAAACCTTCTCCCATCTCGACATCAATCATATAATCGATATATATCCTGCTGGTTTTATATTGTTTTTAGCTCACCTGAGCATATGCTCGGGGTGAGCTATTAGGATCACTCTTTGTCCGTTGTCCGTTCACACTTTTAAAACGACATCTCCTCTGAAACCATAAGGCAGATCATAATGAAACTTCACAGGGATGTTCCTTGTGTGAAGCCTTAACAAAGTTGTTCAAAGAATTCCATTCCATGCAGAACTCTGGTTGCCATGGCAACCAAAAGAAAAAACTTAAAAATTCTTCTTTTAAAAAACCCAAAGAGCTAGAGCTTAGATATTTGGCATGAAACATCTTCTAGTGAGTGTCTACCAAGTTTGTTCAAATAAAAACCCTGGGGTCAAAATTGGCCCGCCCCAGGGGGTCATTGGTTTTCCCTATATGCATATAATAAAAACTTAAAAAATCTTCTTTTAAAGAATCCAAAGAGCTAGAGCTAAGATATTTAGCATGAAACATCTTCTAATGGGTGTCTACCATTTTTGTTCAAATAAAAGCCCTGGAGTCAAAATTGGCCCCGCCCCAGGGGGTCATTGATTTTCCCTATATGCATATAGTAAAAACTTTAAAAAATTTCTTTTAAAGAATGCAAAGAGCTAGAGCTAAGATATTTAGCATGAAACATGTTCTAATGGATGTCTACCAAGTTCGTTCAAATAAGAGCCCTGGGGTCAAAATTGGCCCCGCCCCGGGGGTCATTCATTTTCCTTATATGTTTATAACAAAACCTTAAAAGATCTTTTTTGAAAAAAAAAACAAATAGCTAGAGTTTAGATACTAAGCATGAAAGATCTTCTAGTGAGTGTCTTCCAAGTTTGTTCAAATAAAAGCCCTGGGGTCAAAATTGGCCCCGCCCCGGGGGTCATTCATTTTCCTTATATGTGTATGACAAAAACTTACAAAATCTTCTTTGAAAAAACTCAAATAGCTAGAGTTTAGATATTAAGCACGAAGCATCTTCTAGTGAGTGTCTACAAAGTTTGTTCAAATAAAAGCCCTGGGGTCAAAATTTGCCCCGTCCCAGGGGACATTGATTTTCCTTATATGTGTATAGCAAAAACTTAAAAATTTTCTTTGAAAAAACCTGAATAGCTAGAGTTCAGATATTAAGCATGAAACATTGTCTAGTAAGTGTCTACAAAGATTGTTCAAATAAAAGCCCTGGGGTCAAAACTGGCCCTGCCCCAGGTGTGTCATTGTTTTTAACTATATGTGTAAAGAAAAAAAACTAGAAAAAATCTTCTTTTAAAAAACCCAACAAGCTAGACCTTAGATGTTTAGCATGAAACATCTTCTAATGGGTGTCAACCAAGTTTGTTCAAATAAAAGCCCTGGGGTTTAAACTGGCCCCGCTCCGGGGGCCTATATACAGGTGAGCGACTTTAGGGCCATCATGGCCCTCTTGTTTGGATATCTTAATGATTTCAGTCTGATAGAACAGCTTCTTCTTTGTCGCTGACTATGTGACATAATGACTGGAGTGAGATAAGTTTATCCGGCAAAACTTTATCCTGCTGATAATATAGACAGTAGCAGGATTGTGCTTTGAAACATCTAGTTGTGTTTTATCATTGGGCAAACATGTATGATGAAATTAAATATAAGTGATAGTATTCATAAATTGTTTGATGATAGGCAAGGAACATTATGTTTATAATAATTATGTCTGTACATGAGTTACTTACTATTCACTAGCACAAATACAACCTGGCAGAAAGAAAATCCTTTTTGTTATACAGAAGTCTTCAAGTATGACAGCTTTCTTGATCAAGATACTCTCATGCAACGTGATTAAGAGTTGGAGCATAACGCTGTTTTTTATACATGTATAAGGCCAGGGGAACAATATCATTTCATTAGATAATAAGTTTGGCATCCCAGATGAAGACACCTGATTGCCAAAACATCCGTTAACATGATCAATGATAAACCTTAAAACGTACCCTGTGTTAAATGTTTGGTCCAAATGTATCATTTTTCATGCTAATAAGAAGTAAAAGATTATCTTCAACTTGTATGATTTCTCATGAATTTTAGGCAACTTCAAGTACACCACAAACTAGCAAACCTTCAAGTAGAAGTTCACAATCAACACATCGCCTGAAGGAGATATACACAGCCAATCAAAACTCATCAATGTATAAAGATTTACTGAAAACACGTGAACAGCTCCCAGTATACCAACATAAACATTCCATCCAGGAAGTTCTACAGAAACATAATGTTGTATTGGTTGCCGGGGAGACAGGAAGTGGCAAGAGTACACAGATTCCACATTTTATCCTTGAGGTAAAAATATGTACAGGTATCTAAAAGTCACCTAATGGTTAGACTGTAACCTGGAACATGCAATATCTTCATTTAACAAAACCGCCTCCATAGGTGATGCTTTGGTAGTTTAGCGCGGAAGAAGGTAGTCTAGTACTGGTGTAACTCTCCAGGAACGATGGTTAGGAAACTACCCGCCTATATGACTGAAATACTGTTTGGAAAAGGGGTAAAATGAAACAAACAAATAAACAAAATCTTCATTTAAGAAAGTTTTCATTATAGGCTTCAGAAGGTTGTTTAGGCTTCTGTGGTAGAAAAATGGCAAGGGTTTTTTATTCTTTCTTGAAAGGATACTATACAGCTAGCTAATAGAAGGTTTATGATAACATTTGGTTGCCTGTTCATGCCTGAAAGAAGCTAGCTAATAGAAGGTTTATGATAACATTTGGTTGCCTGTTCATGCCTGAAAGAAGAAGAAAGCCTCCAGGCTTGTCTATACCATTATTCTCATATTGAAATTCCCACCATTCTGGGGACAATTTAGGGAATCAGTCTTAGACTGTTAAAGCTAAGTTAAAGCCTAAAAATCGTTTTCTTATAGATTTTTTTTTTTGAATCTCTGGGACAATTTAAAACATGAAAGCTGAAAATCCATGGAATATAAAAATTAAGCAAGATTTATTAGGGTTTTACATCAAGGATTGTTATGTTACTAATTACATGTAGTTATTTTGGAAAGTAAATGTTATATCGATTATATATTAGCTAATATAGTAATCTAAACTTCATTACATGTTTGTATATTAACTATATTTCAGGACTGTCTGACATATGGTAGTGAGAAATGTAACATTGTGTGTACAGAACCTAGACGTATATCAGCAATTAGTCTGGCCACCAGAGTGAGTCAGGAAATGGGAGAAACCAAAATAGGTAGGTGGGCAACTGTTGTAGGTATTCAATTGAATATTTTGTTTGGCACAAACATATATATATGCTCATAGTTATTACATTGTTACAATGTATGGCAGTAACAATTAACAAACTTAAAAAAGAACCTGTCTTCATGTACTATTTGAGTGGTGTCATGACAAAACCAACATAATGGGTTTGCGACCAGCATGGATCCAGACCAGCCTGTGCATCCACGTGGTCTGATCAGGATCCATGCTGTTCGCTTACCAACCCTATTACAAATAGAGAAACTGATAGTGAACAGCATGGATCCTGACCAGACTGAGCGTATGCGCAGGCTGGTCTGGATCCATGCTGGTCGCAAACGCACTATGTTGGTTGTCATGACACAGCTCTTTTTTTTTTTTTAGGGGAATAGACCTTATTATTATTTTTTCTGTGCTTGATTATTTATTCAAAATCTACTGACAAGTAACTGCTGTCTCTCACTCTGCTGGGGTGAATTCTCTCTTATGAGGAAGGTACCCATCAAGTTTACACTGCAAAGATTTCAGATACATAGTAACTTGATGTACATGTACAACATTATAGGTCACACAGACTTATTTTCGCAACCAAGAAAGCTGAAATATTGCCACATTATCAAGAGCACGTTTAGATAGCTTTAATAGATTACAGCAAAAAGAAATAAGTTTAAGGAAACCTGAAGGACAATCAAAGGTCAATTGTTGTCATATGCAAGAAATCCCTAAAAATTAATATTTTCGTATTAATAAATGAATATATAAATCAAATGTAGTACAATTAATTTATTTATTACTATCAATATTTAGGAGCAAACATTCTTGTTGTACTAGTTTTACACTATCTGTATATTGACTATATGATAGTTGATCCATTTCTCTACACGCAGATTGTAAAAACTCAGCAATCAATTCATACTTTTCAGACACTGCTTTTACAATGTGTTGGTACTCATCACTTAAAATTCTAACCTTACAGCTGTCTACAGACGTATTTAAACCCTTGGAATATAATATTATCTCATTGCAATGTTTCTCAGCAAAGTCCATAATCTTGTTTTTCTCGGAAATGACAAAATCTATTAATTTGTCACAGCGCAAAGCAGAATTTTCAAGAATGTGTTCCCCTTCTTGTGTGATGAAGTCATTTAATGATTTCTTCATCAATTTGTTAAACACGACACTTGTTTCCTTGGCGATGATTTTGTTCATGTCGTGAATTTGATCGAAAGCTATGTCAAGTATGCTTTCAAAGTCTGCGAGTATTGATTGAGATATTTGATCGCACTGTTCCACAATGAAGTGTTTTATTATATTCAACTGATCTTCGCAGCTGCATAAAATAACTTGAAATTCTTCCAGGAAATCTTCTTTCATTTCTTTGTCCATTATACGTTTTGGAACACTTACTAATATTATCGCATTTTTTTTTCTGTCATGAATATTTCTTCCAAATTAGTTTTGTGTGATGTTTTCTCAGCAATGTTCTTTTTTTTAAATCACTGCATCCACCAGTAAAGCTGAAACGTTGGCATATGACATTAAAGATCAACAAAAACAAAACCTCAATAGCTGATATTCCATTTTGTACCATGGATATATTTCACCATTTATGTCCAAAATGGCTGTATTGTTTAATGATATATATTTTGGTCAAAATTAAGCTGTGCCATTAAATTATTATACATGAAAAGTTAAACTGTACCTTTAAAGTACACACTGGCCTTTATCTCCCAAGATGGTGCTTTTCTCTATTGTACTTCTTACACATACAACCAGTTTTTTTGTTAAATTCAATTTAAAATTTTATCCGGCAAAAAACATCAACATTTCATTATAGCCCAATGATAAATGCTATATTTCTTACTACTATATTTTCTCACACCATATGTACCAGAATATATGCTACATTTTTTTTTCACAGCTTTGATTAAAAGGGAAATGAATAATTAGGGTTGACATCATTTTCCTACAAATTTGGTTTTAATGACAAGTTAATAGTTTTCACACTTTGTAGAAATACTTGCTAATAACTGCATGGTGATTCTATCGATTTAATTATGTCGTTTTTTATTTGATAGATTATAAATAATAAATTGTGTTAATTGACAAGTTAATGAATTTGTATTTATGCATACATTAAGTATACTGTATGCATAAATTTAGATTAAATAACTAAAAACATTTTTTTCATAGAATTTAAAGGCCCATTAAGCCTAAACAAATGCTATTACTGGTAGTCATGTATTTCTTAATCTTGGTGTCCTGTTAAAAAAAACAACAACAAAAAAACTAATTAACCATATAGTAAACCATGTCTAGATCTAGAATATTATGAATGTCCCTTTTTTGGTTTGTTTTGTAATCACACCAACACAGTAAAAGTCATATGGCAACATTCCAGTGTCACTCAGTCTGGTGGATAAAGACCTAAGATGCCTCTAAAGGCAATAAATACCACTGACCTTCCCCTAAAAAATAACTTTCCCAGTCTATCATTATAATAATTGTTATATTGAAATTGATGTCTGTACAGCCTTTGCATAGCTTTTACCCCCTTCTTAAATATCTTTGGAGTTTTCCCAGCAATTAACCTCTCAATCTATGTGCCGGCCAGTGTAAGCTTTTTCCTGTTCATATTGTCAAGGAAAATATTAACATTTAGATGGTGTTAGTCCACTATTGACTTACATCTTCAGTGCCACCCTTCAAGATGGTTATTTGTCCCGGGTTTCTTGTCCATAAAATATTTTTCAACCTAATGTTGTATTCTATCTATTGGCTATTTGACCAGATTACTTTTCTTTTGAATGTTGATGCATTAATTTCATCACTTGGTTTTTTACCCTGTTTGTGATAGAGTGAGTAAAGGTATTTTTTGCATATTCTAACATATTATAGCTTATTTCTTTGAAAGCAGTGTTTAATCACTTTTTTTTATGGTAGGGCAACATTTTTGCAAAATTTAACAATTTTTAAATTTTCATAAAAAAAAAAAAAAAAAACCAACGTAACTCTGGTGTCGGGCTGCTGTAAAGTTTTGTCTTGACAGTCATAAAGAGGTTGTTGATAATATACAATGTATCATATTTTATTACAGGTAGTCCTGAATCGTTGTGTGGTTACCAGATCAGGTTCGAATCCAAGCTCGGTCCAAACACTTGCCTTACATACTGCACGACTGGCGTATTACTCAGGAAACTACAACTAGATTCTAAACTACAGCATGTTACACATATCATTGTGGATGAGGTATTCTTACACTTTCTCTTTTGATAATTGTACAAGTTTTATGCCACTTCCATTCACAATGTCCCTCATTTTACTGTTTCTTATAGCAACTTAACTTATAGTCTGATATATGCATTATGTTGTTAATTTTTATGGGTGGGGTTTCTGGTCAATTTGATCAAGGCAACTGAGGCTAGAATTACTTTTCCAGTCAGCTTACTTTAAGGAATATAGAAAGAATTAAAGTTTCAATATGAAGGAGTTAAAGATACATGTAGTTGTTGACTCATGGTGCGTCTGTGGCAGAGTGGTTATGGTCATTGACTTTAAACTTACTTACTCCTCACTGCTATGGGTTAGAATCCCTACAGGAATTCCGAGAGGATCTTTGAATTCTTTCAAGTTAGGAAGTTGTCCAGCTAGATTACAGAACTTTAGTTG